TTTGGGCCTCGAAACTGAGCTTTCCTATACATACAGAGGTGACTCCATTACTCAAGCTAGCCGTGCCAATGCGCTGCCTGCGACTTTGATGACCTGTCTCTTCTGCGCCATGATGCACTACTCATTTCTAATTCCGAAACAAGCTCCATTTCCACTCCGATACCTGGTCTCGCGGTCATGCGGACTGCCCCTTCATCCCCATCACCCAAGCACGAATAGGGTCGTGCCAAAAAAAGAGTAAGGTGGCCGGCCGGGCAGCTCTAGATCTGACGAATCTCCTTCCCGACCATCTCAGGCCGCTCGACCTCCCACTCGTCGCGGATGACAGCAAAAGCGATGTCACTAACAAGCAAGCTCTGGGCAAGGCTCCAAACAAGGGTGATGGCGTAGAAGAAATTGGCGTTGCCGCTGCCGGCGTAGATCCAGAGGTGGTAGAACGCAGGGCCGAGGAAGGAGGCGTAGAGGATGGCGGCGGCGGCGACGAAAGGGTAGCGCATGATGGGGAAGAGGTGGCGGTACAGCGGGAGGACGGCGAGGAAGAGGGCGGTGTCGGCGATGGACGGGTAGGGCTTGAAGATGGCGAAGATGCCGAGGAGGCAGGCGAGGGCGGCGAGCGGCTGGGCGCGCAGGCGGATGGATAGGCCGCCGACGTGGCTGGCGAGGTGGAGCCAGAAGACGGCGAGGAAGAAGGCGCGGAAGGAGTCGAACATCTCGACGAAAAAATACCACCAGAGCCCGACGTTGGGGGTCAGGTCCGAGAGGGTCAGCTGGACGCCGTAGGTGGCGGGGAGGAAGGCCCAGGAGCCGCCTGTCAGGAGGGACGAGAGGCCCAGGAGGGCGGCGAGGGTGGCTGCCGCGGCACCGATGTGGATGGCGGCCCAAGGGAGCGGGGAGGCGAGAGGGGAGGAGGCCGGGGCGGCGGGCGGGCGGCGGTCGTAGGCGAGGAGGAGGAGCGGCGGGAGGAGAAGGAGGGGGTAGAGGGAGAGGTAGCCGGCGAAGCTGAGGGAGATGATGGCGCTGAGAGGGGCTCCGGAAACGGCCTTTGCGATGGCGTGGAGGATGGCGCAGGATGTGAAGATGGTTGTGGATCGACCGACGCAGGTCGCGATGGTGAAGGGGTTGAACAGGAAGCTGGTAGCGGACGCGGTTAACGATCAGAACGGAGCTGACAAACTGAGACGCCGGGGGGAGAGAGAGGGGGGGTGGGGGGAATAACTTACACAGCAGCGACGGCTAGACCACTCAACCGCTTTTCTCTCCTGGGCGAGGTGAACCGTTTGGAGGCACCGGACTCGCCCGAGTCGGCAATGTGTGCTAGGGCGTCGGCGCTCAGGAGATCGACGAGGATGTACAGTAGGGCCGTGAAGATGGGGTAGGATCGGACATCTGGGAGGAGGGAGAAGAGCGGAAGGAGGAGAGGCGCCTGGTGATAGACACCACCGTCGTAGGGAGAGACATTATGATTGTAGAGGAAGAGACCTTCTTGAACTGCAGTCGAGATTGATTTTGTTAGTCAGTGAAAGAGGAGGCTTCAGCGGAAGTTGGGTGTCGGGTGTTGGGTGTTGGGTGTTGGAGCTTACGGCGCTTGAAGCTGGTGACTGGGGTAGAAATCTCGACGCGGCCGGTCAGGAAGTCGGGGAGGCCAGGGAATCCAACAAACAGGATGAGACGCAGTGCGGCCGCTGCAAAGTAGAGGCCACTTTTGCCTCCTAGAGTCATTATGCCGCGGTTCATGGCGCCTTAGTCGAAGACCATGGCCAGCAGAGGAGGTCGATTCGTGGTGGATTTCACGTCCTGGCTTCGTTTCGCTGTTGTTGTACGAAGCAGGCGGGTCGATGGAATGGGACTCGGCGGAGTCAATTGGCAGTTGTCGCCAAGTGGTGACTCACAAGCTCGAGCTCAACCCAGCCAGGGGAAAGGAAAAAGGACTGGTCCGTGCACCAGGGCGGTCTGGGGACGAGATTAGATAAGACCACCCAATCAAGAGTGCAGGACGAGCAGGGGAACGGGCGGTGTGCAATGGTAACCGGCAGAAAAAAATCAATGGTGGGTAAGAAACCAGAAAGAAAAGAAAAAGTTGAACCAGGAATAGAAGAAGAAGAAAAAAGTGCCCCGCTGCCAACCAGAAGCTTCACAAGCTTCCCACCTCCCACCGTTTCCTACCCAAAAGCCGATTCCGAGTCAAGGTCGTCTTCTAAAAGACAGACCGACACAAACAACCATAAAATGGGAAGGTTGAGGAAGAAGGGTCAGGCCGGTGCGGCCAAGAACTACATCACGCGCACCCAGGCCGTGAAGAAGCTTCAGATCAGTTTGCCGGATTTCCGCAAGCTCTGTATCTGGAAGGGCATCTATCCCCGCGAGCCTCGCAACCGGAAGAAGGCGAACAAGTCGGCCACCTCTACGACCACATTCTATTACACCAAGGACATTCAGTATCTGCTCCATGAGCCTCTCATCCAAAAGTTCCGCGAGCAGAAGGCGTTAGAGAAGAAGATCTCGCGCGCCCTTGGTCGTGGCGACGTCGGCAATGCGAAGAGGTTGGAGAGTAACGCGACGCGGCCCGAGACGACGGGAAAGCCTACATACACCCTCGACCATGTCATCCGCGAGCGGTATCCGACCTTCAACGACGCGCTGCGGGATCTCGACGACTGCTTGTCCATGCTGTTCCTGTTCGCCAACCTCCCCTCGACCTCGACCGTCCCCGCCAGCATGATTGCCCGGTGCGAGCGCCTCTGCCTCGAGTTCCAGCACTACCTCATCGTTTCCAAGAGCCTGACCAAGTCGTTCCTGTCCATCAAGGGCATCTACTACCAGGCGAACATCCAAGGCGAGGACGTCCTGTGGCTGGTGCCCTACAAGTTCAACCAGAGGATCGTCGGCGACATCGATTTCCGGATCATGGGCACCTTTGTGGAGTTTTACATGACGCTGCTCGGCTTTGTCAACTTTAGGCTGTACACCTCCGTCGGCCTCAAGTACCCCCCCAAGTTCGACCAGGCCAAAGACGAGCAGTCGGCCGAGCTGAACGCCTTCACGCTCGAGGGCCAGAACCTCGTGAGCAACGGCGAGGACGGACAGGAGCAGCTGACGAACGGCGAGGCGGAGCACCAGGTTGACCCCGAGACCCAAGCCGCCGTGGATAAGGTCGTCCAGAAGCTGAAGGGTGCGGAGGATGAGCCATCGGCGGCGGCGGCAGAGAACGGCGCCGAAGCCGAAGCCGACGGCGAAGCGCCGAGCCACGCAATTGACAAGTTCGAGCCCGCAGCGCCCGGCGGCGACGTCCTGACACAACTGGACTACTCCGGATCGGATGCCGCCAATCTCTTCGCCAACTGCACTTTCTTCCTGTCCCGCGAAACCCCGCGGCATCCCCTGGAGTTCCTCCTTCGTTCGTTCGGATGCAAGCGGATCGGCTGGGACGCCGTGCTGGGCGAGGGCGCGTTCACGACGGACGAGCGCGACCCGTCCATCACGCACCAGGTCGTGGATCGTCCCGTCGTGCAGACTACGGCGGAAGGAGAGGGCGAGGGCGAGGGCGAGGGCGAGGGCGAGAGCAAGGGCGCCCAAGATAACCAGACTTCGCAGAAGCTGGGGCCGAACCAGCGGATACCCGGGAGGATATACGTGCAGCCGCAGTGGGTCTGGGATAGCGTCAACGACGGGGAACTGAAGCGGCCTGACCTGTACGCGCCCGGCGCGCAGCTGCCGCCGCACTTGAGTCCTTTCGTCCAGCCGGTGCAGGGTCAGTACGACCCGACGGTGCCGTTGGAGGAGCAAGAGACGGAAGGGGAGGCCCTCGCGGAGAGCGACGAAGAGATGGAAGATGCGAACGGCGGGGCGGAGGCGGCCGACATGGACGTCGCCGGCTCGGACGCCGAGGAGGACGAGGAAGATGAGGACGAAGAAGACGACTCGTTTGGCGGCTTCGACGAAGACGAGAAGAAGGAGGGTGAACAGGGCGAGGAGGTCGGTTCGGACGACGACGACGAGGCGGCGCAGCGCCAGATCGAACTGGAGGCGGAGCTCACCGGCCGGCCGATGAAAGAGAAGCCGAACAAGGCCAAGTCGAAGAAGGAGGAGGCGAGAAAGGCGCTGGCGAAGAAGGCGGCCGAGGAGGCCGAGGAGCACGAGCGGGCCAAGGGCATGTTGTCCAAGAAGAAGCGCAAGCTGTACGAGCAGATGATCTACAGCAACAACAAGAAGAGCGCCGAGGCGGAGAAGCTGCGGGAGAAGAGGAGACGGATCGAGAAGCAGGCGGCGAAGACGAAGGGCAAGGTGTGATGTGATGATGGATGATGAGAAAAAGAAGGGGGGGTGGAGGGTTGTTTACGAGTAAACTGGGCTCTTTTGTAGATAATTTTCTTCAATCAAGGACATTTCTGGCGTTTAATACCAAGTGGTTGACTCGAATACTTTGATTCTGTTCTCTGTTACGCGGTGATTTTTGTTTCCATCGTCCATGTAAACCTGACGAGCAGCTCTTGTTGTCTCTAAAGGTACCTTAGGTAAGTACCCAGGGAGGTATTCATTTCTTCACCGAGCCACCGATACCAGTTTTCGTTGCGTCTCACCTTACTAACTTACCACTCACCTCACATCACACCTTAATACCTATCTATGGACAATTAACTTCCCTTTTACACCCAACTAACATGGCACCACAAACGTGATTACCATTTCACCTCTACGTTGCGTCTGGAATTCTGGAACCAATTCAATATTTACAGCAACATACGGACACCTGATGCCATTCTGGAGCGCAGGCAGCGCACCTGCCGCAACCCATCCGACCATCCCAACATGACGACGCCAGAGCCTCGAGAAGCAAACATGCACGAATCATGGGACCTCGACACGGATGAAATCCGGTCCACGGCCTCGGACGAGCTCCACGCCACGCGCCCCAACCGCTGGCGCGGCGCCGCCTCGACCTGGCGTCACTGGACCGAAGAAGAGCGCCTACTGTACCAGTCCCTCGAACGGCTGCGCGACCAGGACTTGTCAATCCACCTGTACAACGCATTTGCGTTGAAGAATCCGAAGAATAGATCAGCTTCAGGCGATCGGGGCGTCCCGCTCGGGGAAGACGAGATGGACATTGGAAACTGGAAACCCCCGCAGTCCTGGTCGGCGTGGCCTCTGCCAGCGCACCGGGTTCCTTCCGAGTCGCTGCTCAAGGAGACGCACGATGAGCACGATGAATTTACGCTCCAGAGGAGAGATGGACCGGCGGATGCAGTGCCGGGGCGGGTGCTGGAGGATGAAGTCGCTGCTGCTGTGCTCAGGATCGCCAAAGAGCGGTTTCGGGAAAGAGAAAGGGAAAGGGAAGGAGAAATGGCGGCGGATGAGAGTCATCGTGACCCTCTGCGAACTGGGACACATTCTGAGTCTCACTTTGAGGCTTCGGATGGAGGGTCAGCAACAGACTCTTCCTCGGCTTCTGTCCCAGCGGATGACGACACCTTGGAGTTCAAACGGGACCCCGCCCCCGGGGTTGAAGAGATGGACCTAGACGAACAGGAGGAGGAGGAGGAGGAGGAGGAGGGAGATGAGACGACCCGGCAGCCTGCCCGTGATCGAAAGGAATACGTCCCCGTAATCTCGGCGGATGACGACTTGTCCCACGCACTTTTACGGCCAGCTGTCCGGCATATATTATCGCAAGTAGATGCTACACTGACGACACTGCACAACGTGCGTATGGCCAGCTTATCGACGCTCGACCGGCACGACGATTCTGATAGTGACATAACATCGGCCGTCTCGGGCATGGAGACGGATGCCAGTCGTGCTCCGTCTGCTGCCACCTCCAAGAACCGGAATCAGAAGAGGAAAAGGCGAGTCAACGGCAAAGCACCGACAACACGGAACGATAGAAGCAAATCCAAAGGGAAGAGGCGAGCCGAACGACCTCCGTCTACAAACAGCGACGACATCAACGACGGCCACGATGACTACGGTGACGACTTGGCAGACGACGAGTCGGCATCCGACACCAGCGCGGCCCATTCACGGCAAGAGGACGAAGGAAGCAGACCTCATACTGGTCGCCTGCGAACCGCGTCATCCGACGACGGCCAATCGAGGATGTTCTGGCGCGAAGGCCGCCTCCGGCGCTGGGCGCTCTTCGACTGGCGCGACGTCCTCGGCGCCGCGGCCCTCTCCGGCTTCGACGGGGACGTGGCGGCCCGCGCAGCGCAACGGTGCGCCGACCTCTTCGGGCGGAGCATGGAGTTCCGCACGCTGGAGGCAAAAGCGACCAAACCCACAACCACAGCCACAACCACAACCACAACGGCCGGGCAGCGGCGCTACGTTACTACCAGGGTCTGCCGTCCCGGGGAATGCCTCCCGCCGCTTTCGGGCGAGGAGTCGGGCGACGCGGAGGAAGTGCATCTCGAGGAGACGCGGCGGCGGCTGCGCGAGGTGGCGGCGGAACGGCACGGGAGGCGGGTGACCCGTCGGGAGGCGGCGGCCGCTGGTCACACATTTCCGCCTTTTACGTTCAGCTCGGGTGACGAGAAGGGGGAAGAGGGGGAGGAAGAAGACGAATATGAAGAAGAAGATCACGAAGAAGAAATGGTCACTGCCGACGAGGCCCCCGACTTCAACAACGACGACGACTTGAGCTCCATTGACATCACGCGGGTTGAGGCAGCACCCGACGGACTCTACTATTGTCCGGTTTTTTACTGCCGAAGACATAAGAAGGGCTTCCCGCTAAGACGCGGCGTGCGAGAGCACTTCAAGCTGACGCATGGACAGCCTTCAAGCGAGAAGGGGACATCATTCTACTGCCCCGTAGGGACGTGTAGGTACCACCTGTTGAGTTTCAAAGCGAAGAAGAGTCTGAAGGCGCATTTACGAAAGATGCATACCGTGGAGGAAGTGCAAGTCGCCGAGGGGCAGAGGCGGGCGGAGGACATGGCGGCCGAAACAGCAAGAGTAGTGCAAGGAGAAGAGGGGCATGGTGAGAAAGGGCAGATCACGTCAGTGATAGAAGCATTAGTGAAAAGCGAGGATGAGATGGAAGGAGGCGTGCATGTGGATGGGTTTCTGCGTCCCATCAAGATCCGAAAGGGGTGGTTAACGAAGGGCGGGAGGGAGGTGGGACAACGGAATAAGGTGCGTCGAGTATCGTGAGGCTTTAGTTGATGATTGATCTACGGGCAGACATTGATAAAATAAAATAAATAAATTAAAATAAATAAAATGAAATAACATAAAATAACAATGATGATAATGATAATGGTACTGGTACTGGTAATAATAAAAGGAAATATGAGAAAGGGCAAAAAAGCTCGGCTGCCCGTGACAGCGGGAATTCAGAAAACTCGACAGTTTTCTCAAATTCACAGTCTCTCGACCAACCAGTGTCTCTCGGTTAATGTAGAGAGCGTCTCTCACTAGACAGCGTCTCTCGCTGGACACAGCCCTAAAACTGGATAAAACCAGTGCCAGGGCTGAAGACTGAACGGGCAGCCTACGAAAACCCTCGGCCAAAGGCGTTTTCTACCCTTATGAGAGGACTCACCACTACACCACAAAACCCAGCAGTGTATAGCGAGTTCTCTCAGGTAACAGAGAATTTACTACAGAGGTATATAAAGGATAGTGCCCACCTTACCTACGTACCTGCCCGGCTACCTACTTGGATCCTTACCTAAGATATGCGAGCTTGAGAGTATCTTGGGTGGGACGACAAGAGGGGAATGACGACAAACACGCGGCACTTCGGAAACTCAAAGTGTTTAGCATATTCAGTTTACGTCACATGTGAACACCCACTATTCCTACCTGCCTACCTAAGGTACATAACTAGGAGGACAGGGAAGGAGGAGAACGGGGGAAGGTAAAAGAGAGGACTCTGGGGTAGGAGACGGCAGTCAGGTCAGCTCCGAGGAAGGGGTGATGGAGGACCAGTTTCAAAGCAATGTTCCCACCTTACAACCATCGACTGCTACGATTTCAGAGTCCAGCTCGTCTACCTTGGGTACTCAATCAATGTCCTCCTGGTACTCAATTCGTCCAAGTAGGGCCCAGTGCGTGGGCCATCTGCCGCTTTTATATGATCCCCTCCCCCTTATTGTGTCCGGCCTCGAGACATTATCTTGACGCTTCAACGCATATACGACATGCAAACGAAACAGGTGACAGTATTAGCACGTCTCCCTCTCTGGAATCAAAGCATATTTTCATATTGTTATTCCACCCCTCCAAAAGTCTCCTCCAGAGAGAAAAGCAAAAAAGAAAAAAGAAAAGATAAGTCTGACGAGAAGGGTATCTACCAACCGATACTGCAAAATAGCTTCCACCAGAGAAAAAAGAACCGCGTCCCAAGCTCCAGGAGCCACTAAAAAGTCTCACACATGTGGACAACAGCGTGAGAGGGACGAAAGAAAGCAACAGCTAAAAGGAGAAATGCCCACAGGCAGTAAGACTCCAATCCTTGCCTGTCCCAAACCACCATTGGCCTATTCCCAAGTGCCGACTCCCATAAGGCCATGCCGTGTCGTGTTTCCACAGGTCTCGAGTGCAAGAATAACACCAACACCAACTGAATTCGAGTCCATCAAGTCTGTCCGCCGGCCACAAATACACTTAATTCAGTCTAGGGCTCTTCCTCCTCGGTCCCAAACTATGCGTAAACTCCGTCGGCGGCATGTTTTCCCTCCCATCAAGCGAGACGTGGACCGTGCTATTCTGCCCCTTATACGTGGGCATCTTCGACTGCTGCCTCGGATGACGACGGGACAGAGAGCCCGTGTTCTCGTCCGTCGCCCCGGTGGTAGCAATAACAGTAGCAGCTGCCGTCTTGGTCTCCGACTTGTCGAACAGCAGGGAGCCCGTTGTGAGGGGCATCGTCAGGTTAGGGTTCACCTCGCGCAGGCTCATGCTGAAAGGCGGTACCGGAGGAGGGTTGGTAGTGGGCTGTCTTTGGTCCGAAAGGATCCCGCCCGCCGATGCGCGGGTCTTGATGGTAGGGGAAACGGCTGCAGTGGACACAAGAGGAGGAGATGGAGGTGGAAGCAGGGGGGGGGAGCGGAACAGGTCGGGATGGTCGGAGCCGCCGGAGCCGTCGGAGCCGTCGGAGCCGTCGGAGTCGTCGGCAAACACGGCGGGTCCCTCTACATGCTTTCGCCGGGATGACGAGGTGCCGTTGAGCTCGGCGAGCAGTCTCCCGTGCGACTCTGTCCTGGGCAAGTCGGTCGGGTACTGATACTGAACCTTGACAGGAGTGTCGCCTGTCGGCTCGTACTCCTTGAAAGTCGTGGCCATGATCTCCTCGCGGAGGTCGCACAGGGGTTCGCAGACTTGCTCCCCGAGCGGCTCGAGGTTCCGGTCGGCCTCTTCTGTCTGCTCCTCCATTTCCGTTCCGAGGCCCTTGACCCGTTCGAACGTCGTCTTGAAGTGGGACGAGATGTTGTCGAACGACTGCTCGACCGTGCCCGAGAGGCTACCCATCGCAGCCGCATGCCTCTCGTGATGAGTTGCGTTCTCGGAACGGGCCCTCGTGACAAAGTCGTCCAGCGCCTCCATCTGTATGTCGAGATTCTCTCGCTGTTCGCCCACCACCCGCATCGTTTCTGCGTTGACCGATCTCGTCGTGCCCTGGATAGATGTGCTCAGCTCGTTGGCCGCCTGCCAGTCGTCCTGCAACCTGTCCTTCATCGCATCGCGTGACTGGGCCACCGTCTCGAGAAGCTGGCCTTCCTTCTCATCCCATTCGTCCATGCCTCTTCCATACCGCGCAACGCCTCCCTCGAGCGAAACGTTGGAGTCGAGCACTCTTTTCTGTAGTTGTGCCGCCTTGGCCGCCAGTCGAGACTCCTGTGTTTCCGCTTGAGCGTTGATCAGTGATGCCATCTGCCGTAGCAAATTCTCTCTGTCTTCTGCTGCCTGTTTCCTCTCCTTCTCCACCACCTCTTGCACACTGGCCGAGATGTCGGCGTTCTGCGCCACCACCGCTTTCGTCGCATCCTGGAGCTGACGTCGTAGCCGATCCGATTCCTCGCGCTGAAGCGTAATGTGATGGACGAGGTCCTCGAAGATGACCTTGAACTCCTTGCCCAGCGAGCTATACGAGGTATGCAACTACACACACGCGCGCGCGCGCGCCAAGTTAGAGAAAAGAAACTCACGCACTATCAAGCATAGAGAGAGAGAGAGAGAGAGAGAGAGAGAGAGCCAAAGACATACCTGGTTGTGGAAAGTACCGAGTTCGCTCAGCACATCGGCGGCAATCTTGTCCGCCGCGCCGGCGATGGCCTGCAGACTCTCGCCGACCTGTTCCTTGACCGTATCCCGAACGATCTTAATCTCTTCGAGAACGTCATCCATCTCGTCCTTGGACTTCTCCTTCTGGTCCAACAGTTCCCGCTTCGATTCCTCGAATCGCTGGAGGTTCTGGTCGAGGAACGTCTGCGTGGACGCGAGCTTCTGCAACTCCTCGCTCACAAACTCCTCCATGCGCTGCGAGATGCACGAGATGTTCCCCCTCTGCTCCTCCTGGAACTCTTCGATCCGCCGCTCCACCAAGGTCGTGATGTCGGCCACCGTATCCTGCGCCGTGCCCCACGTACTCCGGTTCAGGGCCTGCAGGTCCGACCTGCGCCTGTTCTTAGCCCGCAGGCCGCCGACGTCGCGGACCGTCTTCTCGAGCGTGGCGATGAGCTCACCCCCGACCGCCGTCAGTTTCTCTTCGGTTTCCTGGTGTCTCCTGCGCAGGTGCGTCTCCTCAGCCAGCGACCGGCGGGTGGCTTCTAGCACGACCTCCGTCTGGTCGAGCACGTTCTTGGCCTCGTCAAGCTGCACCTTGGTGCTTTCGTGGTCTTTCTTTAATCCCATGAACGTGGACGTCAGGGCAAACAGTTCTTGCACCTTGTTCTTCAGGTTCGTCTCCAGAGTCTCCAGCTTGGCGGTCTGCTCCTCGAGCACGATCCGCCTCGACTCGCTCTGGGCGCTCATCTCTTCGTACGCTTCGTTGGACAGGTAGACGCCGTTCCGCTGGCGCGTGGCAATCAGTTCGCTCTTCAGCTTCTCGATCTCCATGGCAAAGTCGCGCAGAAGCATCTTCTTGTGCATAGCGTTGAGCTGCGGCTTGTTGCGGATATTCTTGGCCCGGAAGGCGTAGTCTAGCGTCGAGATGGTCTCTTCGAGGTTGCTTTTCGCCGGCGAGACGGTGGCGATGATACACGTCTTGGTGCGGCCGCCGAGCGAGTCTTGTAGCAGCCGAGTCAGCTTCGACTCCCGGTAGGGGATGTGTTGGCTCTTGTCGACGAGCGCGTTGATGACACGGCCCAGGGTCAGCAGGCTCTTGTTGATGAGGCCGGCCTCGGCGGCCCGCTTGTTCTCGGCGCCGGACCGTTGGATGTTCTCGCTACCAGCCAAGTCGACAAGGTTGAGCTTCCCGGCGCTCACCAGGTCCTCGGATCCGTCCTCAGCCGTCTTGCGGACAAAGGTGGTGATGGTGAAGATGGTGTGACTCCGACTACTGAGATCGTTGCACTTGGTGGCCGCCACCTGTCTCTTCAAGCTGCCGTCCTGGAGGACCCTGATACCCTCGGTGGCGTTCTTGATGTGTTTCTCCTCCATGCCTTGTACCATGGTGGTCAGGTGGCCTCTTCTCGACGTGTCGTCGTAGATTTTGAGCTTGGTGCCTTCTTCCAGCGCAATCAAATCACGTAGTTCTTCGTTGTACAGCTCGATGAAGGAGCACTTTACGCAGTTTTCCCTGTCGTCAATCTCAAGCTTGTTGAACAGCGCGTGCAGCACGCGGGGGATGATACCGGCGGCGTCGGATAGGAGACCCATGGTTTCTGTCATGTCGCCGGACATGGTGTAGGTTTTGCCCGTTCCCGTTTGGCCGTAAGCAAAGATGGTGCAGTTGTAACCGGCGAGCATCTATATCACGGAAATGGGGGAGGGGGGGTGTAAGCAGGCGACTTTTTCCTTTTTCAGAGATACAAAAAAAAAAAAAAAGTGACCAAGTGGTAGTATATATAAAGAAATGGAAGAGAAAACAAGGAGCAAGCGAGCACCCACCTCGTCGAGGATGGGTTTGACCACATCGTCGAACACCATGCTCTGGTCGGCCGCCGGGGAAAAGACGCGATCAAAGTTGTACGTCTTGTCGCTGAGGGAATTCGGGCCGAGCGAGAGCTCGACCTGCTTCCCCTTGACGCCGTCGGCGGCGATGACGACGGCGCTGTTCTCGCGGATCTCCCTCTCGTTGCGGCCGCGGCACCGCACGACGACGTTGATGTTGGTGGCCTCGCCGCCGCCTTCGGATTCGAAATCGCGCTCCTTACGCTTCGTCCCGGAGGTGGCGACGGAGGACATGGAGGGGGCGGGGGAGGCGGCGCCGTCGCGGTCTCGGTCTCGGTCTCGGTCTCGGTTGAATCTCGAAGACGTGGTGGAGGAGGAGAAGGGGGGTCGGATGGAGGACATGCGGGCGGTGCGTCGCGTTCTTGTGGTCGTGCTGCCTGCCGTCGTCGAGCGCAGGCCCGACGACGCTATCCGCGTCGGCGGGTCTCTTCTGGTGGCCATATGTGGAGAGAAAAGAAAAAGAAAAAGAAAAAAAAAAGGGATGAAAGAGGCGTGAGGTGAGGATGGACAGCGAAACGCGCTGTGTTGGAAGGAGGGGGAGGGGAGGGAGCGGGTAAGAGAGGAAACGGGACGCAATTGCAAGCTCTATAGAACTAAGGTCGTGTATTGATCGGATGAGTGAGAGATGAGAAGTAATGTAACGGCGATTGGGGGTTTCCTTGTCCCGCGGGGGGGGGTTGAAGATCGGGGGACTCGATAGGAGGGCAAGCAACGGAAAGGAAAGTAAATGCCTACGGAAGTTCGGAGTACGGCGAGGTAATGCCTGCACGTCGGTGAGGCGAGAAGTGGAGAACTGGGCAAGGTCAATGTTGTTTGGACGCAGTGTGTTGTTGATTACACGAGGGCGTTGGTTGCCTGGACAACTATCACCGCATTCTTAAACGAGTTAGACCGACACTCTCACCGAGCACACTCTCTTAGTAAGGTGGGGTACCTAAGGTCCAGAGCAAGCGTTACAGTCCAGACCAGAGTACCGAGGTATTCCAACCCCGCTCCACCGCCAGGCGTCAGAAGCACGTCGAAATCACATGGCGTTCCCTATACGGAGTAGTGTACGGAGTAGATACCTTAGTGACGACGCGGCCTCTGAGGTCATATTCGTACTCATATGTACTTCGTACCTTATCGGTAGCACCTTGTGACTCGCCAGGTGCTTCCGAGATCTCGAACTTTAAAAAATTTCCTTCTCTACTTACCCTTTCTTCTTCCTTCATCTTCTTATTCCATCGACAGCCAAGTCCTCGACTTCCGATCACCCCATCCGTCTCTTTCCATGTAGCGAACTCTTCAACCTGCCAAAACGAGTCTCCGGACCCGGACCCCCGGATCCCGCTTCGCTGCGTTCAACCGGCTTCCGCACGTTTGCACTTTGACTGACTCGCCTCTCTTCTCGGCTTTCGCGATCTGGACGCAAGTAACGGGATCGTCGCTGAAGATAAACCCCTTGATCCTAGCCTGCCTGGCCTTGTCCCCCGCTTCACACAGTACACAGTCACAGCTCTCGAATCTCGACCATGTCACTCTTCACAGCCCAGCTGCACCCTGGCAGGGCTCTGGGCTTCCTCAGTGAGTTTACCAGCTATTCCATCAAAGTTTCCATCTCGTGAGCTAGCCTAGCATATTAACCTGGTCTCTTTTCTTTTTGGTTCTACGTAGCTCTTGGAGCCGATCTCCACGACATCCTCACGCGCCTAAAAGCCGAGCCCCAGCAATTCCCCAAGATCGAGTTGGCCTACTCCCGCCAACGTCCCGTCGAAGCACCCGTGACCGTCATACTCCCGACCAACGGCCTTCGGCTTCGTTTCGACGGCCCAGAACAGCGTCTGCGTCTTATTGAGGTCATCGACTTCACCAAGAACCACATCACTTTCAAAGACCGCCATCTCGTCAAGCCTGCCAACACCCAACAACCGTCCTCGCCTCCGAGCCCCGGCGAATCCGGTGCGGGACCGACGTTCCGCCACATCTACCACCGGCTGCTAGGACCGACTTATGGGGGGGAATACATAGCACCGGCGGCGGGCTCGTCCCAAGGTGTTGGGAACTACGTGTTGTCTTACCCGGGCGTGGCTTTCACCTTTGCCCTGGCACAGTCGGCCTACTCGCCCTCCAAGGACGTCGTATCTCTACTCTCTTCGTCCTCGTCGACAGCCCAGGTGGCCACGTCCATGGCCGTCTTTAGCGGTGACTCGTGGGCCGAGGCGCGCGAGACCCTATGGAGCGAGGTCCTCCCGAGCGTCAAGACTCTCTCGGCCGTGCCCCGCGGGAAAGATGCCGTGCCCGACGAGGTCTCCCTGATCAAGATCCACGGCGGCGGCAAGACGCAGCTTTTCCGTAAGTGGACCAGTGCTTCGTCCTGGATCGTGCTCGGGGAGACCACCCCTCAGGAGCTCGTCGCCGACCTCGGCCCGCCCAACGCCATCTACCGGAAAAACGATCAGCGCATGACAATCCACAAGCTGCGTACCGCGAGCCACAGTCGGACGCGGACCAACGGCACCGACCCGCCACGGCCCGACGACCTGACGGACACCGACCAGTCTTCGGCCCATACCGCCTCGGAGGATTCCAACGAGGAGGCCATCGAAGACGACGTCGGAAGCAGCACAGTCGCCGGCGAATGTTTCTACAACTACTTCTACCACGGCTTCGACGTCTTGGTGTCCACTCCTACGACCCCCTCGCAACCTCCTCCTCCTGGCAGCTCCACCGCCCACCCGACGGGGCCGACGCCGAACGCAAATGGCGGCATCAAGTCGGTATCGCCAGACCGTCTAGTCGCCACCAAGCTCGTCCTCCACGGCAACGTGCCCGGCTCGTACGAGTTCAACCGCCACCGCCGCTGCCGGTGGGAGATCAGCTACCTGGACACCACTCACACGGAGTCGGGCGAGGCTGCCGCGGTGGTCGACTCGGAGACCAGGTTCGTCGATGTCGAGGACCGGCTCAACGCCAAGTGGAAAGGCGTAATGCCCGACGCGGCGACGGCACCGGGGCAGCGCCAGAGGGGCATGGTGCTCAACCGCGGCTGGGGCGACAGCCCCGGCAGCAGCGTCGAGTTTCTGGGCGGGTGGGAGGATAGCGGGGGCCAGGTCGGGGGCGGTGGTTGTGGTGGTGGTGGTGGTGGTGGTGGCGGTGCGCAGAGGCCGGATGGTGGCGATGAGTCGACGACGACGTTGTATGGATTCCCCGGCTTGGTGTTTGAGGTGTTGAAGAATGGGTTTGTGAATACTGTTACGGTGTATTAGGGGCGACGTATGGGGGGGATTTTATTCCTTTTTTTCCCCTCTGTTTTGCGATTTCTCTTACGGCGTCGGATATTACAGGGGGAATAGCGACTATCGTGCGATTCCATTCAGGGCATTAGGGGAACTCTGGCCGGGTTGGAGGTTAGGCACATGATTTACTCAGTCAAGACATTAGCTGGCAACGGTTGCAGACGGCATGCATGATTCAGTTCTGTTTGGCACATTGTTATCTTCAAGCAGAACAGACGAGGCTGTAGAATGGTATCTGGCCTTAACTTGTTTCGGTATCGAGGACTTTTTGTTTTGTTTTGCTTGCGTGGGGAGGGGGTTTTATATCTTAAATACGACTTGGTACTTCCGTACGGTTGTATATACACCTTAGCAATGTCAACGTTAAAACGAGCCGTCAGAAAAACTGTCGCCGCGTTTCGGTCATTTATATTATTTTCTCTCTTGCACAAAGTATTGTTCTCACATTGTGATAACCACCCAAAGTAAAGTCCAGTTTGACGACGTACACATGTGCATGACATAATACGATGAAAATCGCGACTTTCGCTTTCAGGTGGTCTACTTTATAATTACGTACAGTGCGTACAGTCTGTTCCCCTCAATCCCCGCCCCCCTAATTCCCCCCCCACACACCCCACGCCCGCCTGACAAACCCAAGCTTCATTATCCCGCATTGTGCTCCTGAGCATAAATTGTCTAAAGCTTGACATCAACACCCTGACGTACGAGGTACTACCTCCGCACCTAGGAAGCTGGTACGTAGTATGTAATAATTATGCACCTGGGTAGCAGCTATTCGCCCACCAGAAGAAAAAAAGGTAGTAAGTCAAGTCAAATCGGGTTTCGGGTTTCGGATTGTTTTGATTAATAGGTACAGGTAGGTAGGTATTCGATTCAATTCGTCAAAAGACAAGACAGCTAAGCTTAAGCTGGCTTGACCAGGTGTTGTGTAATACGTGTTTGTTTACCCCCCCTTCCTCCTCCTTAGCTCCATCTTTGCTTCCATGCTCGGGTCCCTCGGCGTGGAGTTTATTCTCTTTCCCCTTTCCCCCAAGAGCATTAGCAACAATAGCTATGTAAGGTAAGGTAGTGTAGGGTAGGTACCAGCTTGGCAGTCTCCCCTCCATCCCGCCCCCTTTTCGCATTCCCCTCCCCTCATACTGTCGTACACTAAGCGATGTGTAAAGTCCTTGTTTCACCCTGTGGGTTTTTCTTGTCCTCATGACCTTTATAACATACCAACACCCTTCCCTTTCGGGCTTTCAGTGTTACGCTGGGGGAAAAAGGAAAAGAAGGGGAAAAGTCGCCTGATGCTGTTCTAGTCGCCATGTGGCGACGTACACGTTGTGGGGTGATTAGGGTAGAGTTCGCCTCTTGCTGAGGCTTTGGGTGGATTTTATCTTGACTTTTTTTTTTAGTGTGAAGCCACGCCTTTGATGAGTGGCGTTGTTCCTCTCGTGTTTATCACTCCTCATCGTCGTCATGGTGCACGCCATAGTGGACGGGACCCAGCTTCAGGAACTGGAACCCCGGCTTGGAAGCGGTGCTGCTGACGCTGGAGCTGCGACGAGCGATGCGGCCGGTAAAGTCAGAAGCCTGGGGATAGGTGGACGAAGTAGTGGGCGCCAGCGACAGGAAGTGGGAAGGCTGGTTGGGTACAGCGAAGGAGCTGGCCACTTGCTGCTCGAGCTGGGGGGCGGTCTCGACGGTCGGGGACGACATGGTTTCGAATTGTTTGTTTTGAAGTGTTTTTTTCTTTCCCTTTTTTTCCCGGTGAGATGGAAAGAAATCGAGCTTGAGACGAGGAGAGCTTGTGGGAGGATGTGGTGTGAAGATGAGTGTGAGAGCAAGAAGAGTTGGATGGAAAAGATGACGGTGAGTGGAAGGAATGAAAGTGAAAAGGTGAACGACCTTGGCCACTTTAAATATTCCAGAAAAATGAGCTACCCTCAGAGTCCTAAACCTTCCATCAGCCCATCGCGCCCCCCCACGATCATGTTGGCCGCGTTACGCCCCTTTTGCTGGGGCACGTACTTCATAACGGGTTTCAAGCCAGAGAGCCGCGGGATGTCTTGCCCATAGGTAGCTAGCCAATAGCTCTCACCGTGGCCTCAGGTTCCCCCCACTGACAGGCGACTTTGTGCCCACGCCGGACGCGGCATGTCTTGAAACCAAGCGTGCGAAAAGAGGGACAAGGCGCCCGGGCGGTCAGCCGCTTTTACATCCCGCGGCGCGGTCC